TCACAGTCAGGGCCACAGCGGAATTCCACCTCAACAACCCCAGCATCAGCAACATGTAACGCAACCGCCACTAGCATACCGAGGCCGCCCTCCTGCTATTTAAGTGATGCTTTTTTAATCGTTCAGCTAATTTAAGAGGAAAACATGAGACAACCTTGACCTGCTTCTTGCATCTTTGCATATGGCGTCCAAATCTACCCTATTTGCATTGCACCGGATCGGACACCAATTACGGCGCGGCTCACTTGGTGCTCAAAACTTGGTTTATTGGGAGTTTGTTTCTCTTTTGTTATTGGCTTTTTCTTTACACGGAACAAACGGTCTGGTATTTGTTGAAATCTTTCTTTTCCTCTCTTTTTCTATTCTCCTCCCCCTTTTTTTTAACTATCTTCCTTATCCCTTTCCTTTTTACATATTCTTGCTTTCCCTCAACTTTTTCTTTTTCGCTCTTCTTCCCCATTCACTTGCAAATCTAAAATGATGAAAAAAATGCTCTTGACATGCAACTGACACGGTAGCTTGGATAAGACTTGATCTGCTAAGCATACCTGCCCCTTTTTTTATTTTTAATTTCACTCCTACCGAACCCCATTCTCCCCCCTCTCTTTCTCTCTCTTTTCTTTACCTTTTTCCCCTTTTACAGATGCCATGCAGGAAAATGTGGATATGTGCATGCTGTTATTACTCCGTTTTCCTCCGATTTCCTACTTCCCTCCCTTCTCTCTGTGATTCTGATTTCTCTTCTGGATATCTCTATCCAACCTTTTCATGCATATTCATTCTACCAGCTAACTTACCCAATGCCCTATTCTGCAAATACCTACATAAGTTATGACAACCAACCCCAACCCTTTAATTTCTGTACCTTCTTTCAATTCTTTTCTTCTTCATTGACCAACTTTATTGATTCCCCAATTTTTCTCTTTCTTTCCACCCCTTTTCCCCTTTAATTTGACTTCTTCTACTTCTTTCACAATACCTTCTTCTCAACTGCTTGCATTTTCAGTCGAACCCCTTTGCTTTCCTAACGTCTCAATATACATTAGCTATCTTCTGTCGGCTCCCGCAAAGACTGCCTGACGACGCTCCCAATCCTTACTTTCCAGCATTGCACGACACATTCGAGTTATATCAAACTAGCTGCTTTCGGGAAAAGAAGCGCAAGGTGCAGGGATGCATAAAAAAATGGGCCATGGGAGGACGGACCCGCCTCATGTCACGGACAGCGGAACAGAGAGTGGGATCTAAATTTGTTTCCAGAAAGGTTCCATACGAAAGCGAATCTCAGATCCGCTTGGCCGCATTGGTCTGGAATATGCAAAGCCATATATATAATGCTCCCTCCCATCCCTCCGATTAAAAACAGTTCCCTGACGATTGCCCCTGAGAGCAGGAACCAGCCTTGACCTACAAGGGGCATAGCACCACTACTTGTCAATGCGTATATCTCATGCCATATTCGCTTCCCCCAGAGTCACAGGCTGCAGGAGTAAGACATGTCAACTAAATATTTATATCCCCATGCTGATATCATGATCGCTTACTTACTCCATGCAGCGGTTCGGAGATTCGAGGACCCGAGAAAAGCCATTGGATAAAGGTTCCATGTCCACGATTGGGATCTCGGAGTAGGTGCTTAATTCGTATTGCAATCTTGGCTGCCTGCGGACAGGGACACCCATTTTTACGGTCAATATCCCGGCTGTTTGACGGAATCGATCCCTGGGGAGTAGTTTTTATTTCTTATTTC